GGACTCAAACTGTGACCTCCTGGTTTATGGGTTGATGCTCAACCCTGAGCCACAACAGCCTGGCAAGTTTATACCTTTTAAAATATCACTTTATTGTTTTTCCAGTGAAAATTCTAGAGGGACAGAGGACAAGGAGAGGTGTTTAATCTGCTTTCTCTATTAGAAAATCCTGGGGAGTGGGAGTGACAGGGAACCCAATCATTTTTATAAATAAACGTTCCTTTAAGAAGGACTTCCTTGAGATTTTCCTATTTTGTCTGCACACATAGAATAAAACGAAACATCCAGTAATGGTGATGAATGTCCTTTATTTCTATTGGGGGATGAATTTACCTACAAGTCATGAGGGGCTTCCATAGGAAAGTGAAATTTCATGCCCCTCCCTTTCTCCTCAGATACTTGCAGGGGACAATACTGGTAGCCTTTGCCATTCTTGCCATTTCTTTGGTCAACTTTAGTTTAAAATAACAGATGAATGGACTTCAGTATTTTAATTTAAAAAAGTTGGATTCCACACCCTCCACACCCTTCCTGCTTTAGTTTCCCAATAAAGATGTTTTGAAAGAATACCAGCTATGTTTGCACTGGACGGGGATTTTCCTTGTGCTTCAGTGAGAACAACGCTGATAGTCTTGGGTGGTGATGAAGAGTTTTATTCACCACCTCCGATCATGGTTACATCTACTCAGGAAATGCGCATTGGGTATGTGTCCTATGTCAGGGCGTGTGTTCAGTACGGTATTTAAGGCATTACAGGATACCTCCTGTCCTCATGGAGTTTATATTCTACAGATGCTGTCATCTGGTTAATAACGGTTATCTTTAGGCCGTGCTTATCATGAGACAGCACCTGACCTGCCTGAATCCTTAGCACAACACTGCAATGCAGCTTTAGCATTCTCATCTTACACCGGAGGAAACGGAGGCTTAGTGGTTTGCTCAAGGTCATCCAATTGGTCTCTGAGGAGCCAGAATCTGAAGCCAGGTCTCTTTTATTTTAGAGCCCATGTTCTTCCATTTGTATAGTTAAAAAAAAAATCAACAAAGCAATTTCACATACAGTGTTTTATAAAACTTCCTATTATCTAACCCAGTGAGGGCACTCTTTTTTTTTATCCTTACCTGAGGATACGTTTTTATTGATTTGAGAGAAAAAAGGAAGGCAGGGTGGGAGGGACAGAGAAAAAAACAGAGAAAAAAAAAGAAACATCAACCATTGCCTCCATCCCATAAGCACCCCAACTAGGGATTGAACCCGCCACCTTTTGGTGTATGGGATGAAGCTCCAACTCACTGAACCGCTAGACCAGGGCAAGGGCCCTCGTATTTTAACTAAAATTAATTATTCTCAGCTTGAGAGATTTGATGGGGGGAGAAAAATCACAAATTAATTACATCATTTTGGGCCTGTATCCTATTATCAGCTTGCCTGATTTGATTACATTTTAATGAACATTATGTTTAGGAATAAAACTTCTTTGTATAACACAGATTTAACTTTAATTACAGTAGGAGAACTTAGCTATTTTAAGGAACTCAGTATTGAATAATATTTTAAGCAAATAAAAGAGTGTATAATGCAAATAATTGCATTTTCATTTCCTTGTCTAAGCACACGCTTTTTCAGTCTTCATTTGTTTAAAGTAAGTTTAGATAATAGTAACCTGGGAAATATGGGGAGCCTGTATATTAGTGGTTTTTTTAAGATTAGCTTTTTAAAAAAAAGAATATATATATATATATATATATATATATATATATATATATATATATATATATATATTATTGATTTTTTACAGAGAGGGATAGAGAGTTAGAAACATCCATGAGAGAGAATCATAGATCAGCTGCCTCTTGCACGCCCCCTACTGGGCACGTGCCCGCAACCAAGGTGCATGCCCTTGAGAGGAATCCAACCCGGACCCTTCAGTCCCCAGGCTGATGCTCTATCCACTGAGCCAAACCAGTTTTGGCTTGTTTCTTTTTTTTACCTGTGTCAATTGTCTTAAATGCTTAAAGGAACAATAAATTATCATCATATAATTCCCTTAGCAAAACAGAGGCAATGTTTAAAATAGAAATGTGTAAGCAGAAGTCCCGGGGAGTCAAAGGATAACCAGTCATTTAGAGAAACTCAAGGAAAGCTGAAATTGTGTTTTTTTTTTCTTCAGTTGGTAAGCTGATCATTATTTCCACTGATATTTATTGAATGCCTGCTGTGTGACAGCTACTGTTTAGACACCGGGATGAAATGATGTTTAAGGATAGGCTATCTGCCGGTCAGAAGTGGTGGTCTGGCAGATCAGGGAGCCTGAGACTCGTGGGTAGGCAGCCAGCTGGCTTAGACGCCGAAGCCTCCCGGGATTGATGTGCAGCCAGCAGAGAAACCCTGATACGAGGGAGATGGAATAAAGCAAAACGGTAAAGAACAGGAGATGAAATACTGGAAAATAATGATGAGGAAGAAACCGTGGCACACCGTGACATGAAGGCTAAGTCCGGGAGAAATGGACCAGTTAATATTGGATTGTGTGTCACAGACTAGTTCAGAACGGTGTTGATATAATACTGCACAACTTTGAAATTTATGAATTTTCAGCCCTAGCTGGTTTGATAGAGTGTCAGCCTGTGGACTGAAGGGTCCCAGATTTAATTCTGGTCAAGGGCACATACCTTGGTTGCAGGCTCCTCCCTGGCCCAGGTCCTGGTTAGGGCTCATGCAGGAGACAATCAATTGAGTGATATTTCTCTCTGTCTTTTCCTCTCTTTTCCTCTCTCTTCCACTCTCTCTTAAAAAAAAATTAAAATAAATAAATAAATAAATAAATAATGAAGAAATGACCTTGGTTGAGGATTAAATTTTTTTCAAAGCACTTTCCCATTTTTCAAATCAACCTTCGTAGCAGTAAAGAAGGCCTTATTTTTTATTTCATTATACAGATGAGCAAACTGAGGCCAGGGCAGTATAATGATTTTGCCAGAAGGTCACAGAGTGTGTTTCAGAGCTGTATTTGAACTTCAATCTTCTGACTTCAAATTCAGAGCTCTTTACGACATTCTAGTAGGATAGCAGTAAGGAGAAGAGAGAAGAGAACAGATCTGCAAACTAGGTTGGTACAGATCCTCTCATGAAACCACGTGTCTTGGGAAAGTAAGAAAATGAGAGACACATTACCAGAAATGTGTATACATGTTCCCAATACCGTTGAAGACAACCGGTGGTTTCGTAGTGAAATATGACACATAAGTACACTTCCAAGCTCAGTGGAGCTGTAGCTTAATTCTTGGTTAGTTTTGTTTTATTAAAACGATGGGTTAGTACCGTGCCTCATAGATGCCTCAATTAGATCCAGCTTTAAACCAATTAATGGCAGAGTGACTCTTTGTGCAATAACCAACACGAGGATGCCTTTATCTAGGACTCGGAGGGCACTGGAAAAGAAAACGCAGCCCTAGCTGAGTAGCTCAGTTGCTTAGAGCGCCGTCCTGATAAACCAAGGTTGCAGGTTCATTCAATCCCTGGTCAGGGCTCAGGCAAGACTCAACCAATGAATGCATAAAAGTAGAACAGCAAGTCCATGTGTGTGTGTCTCTTCTCTCCCCCTTCCTCTCTCTCTAAAAACACAAACGCACAAATAAGAAAATGTAAGCATAAATGCAGTGAGCTGTGTATGCTATATTAAAAGTTTTCCTTGGAATTAGAAGATGGGATGTTTGAGGCGAATGCAGTGGCAATGAAGCAGAGACCGCTGACCATGAAGCTGCAGCATCATTTGCAACAAAAAACACATTTTCTTTGAATTACATTTGAGATTTAATTTGTTGTAAGGTCAAGTAAATGTGCCTTTTACCTTTCCCACCCAGGTACCACTGAGTTCTTGATTGACTAGCTCATCCTGAAAGGTGGCCTTGCTTTTGATATTGCCTCTTCCTGGTTGCTTTCCCACACATCATCACAGCATCACCCTCTCCTTGTCATTACCGATTCACTTAAAGGTTCCCTTCATGAACAGGCCTCTCCCGATCACCCAGTCCCAGGGAGCTCCCGGTCCCTGACCACATGGCCATCTGCTCTGTCTTCATTTATGCTTTTATGGAACCCCTGCTTTGTGATGAGGAACACAACAAAGTTCCTGGCCTTAAGGGAGTTGCCACTCCAGAAAGGAAATAATCAATCACAACCTGGTACTCCCATTGTGACCCCGCACCAGAAGCAGAGTGGAAGATTCGAGAACAGTGGCACTGTTTTCTTTCTGGTGAAATTAGTGCACAGAACTTTCAGAGAACCCCATTCTTTCTCACACTTATACTACTTACTTCTTTAAAGTTATCTGCACAACTGGAGAGCTGACAAGGTGTACAATAGAGAACATGGCTGGCAGCTTCTCCAAAATTTACTATGCACATTCGTGAGCAACTCACGTTATCTACTTTTTGCATTGATTTTCTCGTTTGCAAAATGAGGTAGATCTATCCATTTCACAAGGTTTTTGAATGAATTAACTATGAAAGTATTTGAGCTCTAGCTAGTTTGGCTCAGTGGATAGAGTATTGGCCTGTGGACTGAAGGGCCCCGAGTTCGGTTATGGTCAAGGGCATGTACCTTGATTGCAGGCTCGATCCCTGGCCCTGGTCAGGGTACGTGTGAGAGACAACCAATAGATGTGTCTCTTTCACATCGATGTTTCTCTCTATCTCCCTGTCTCCCCGGCTCCCTTCCACTCTCTCTAGAAATCAATGGGAAAATATCCTTGGATAAAGATTAATAAAAAAAAAATTAGGAAAGTATTTGATGAATAGAGCACTAGGTGGATATTCAGTGTTGTCTGCAGATGTCTCTGAGTTGCTGAAATTTCCCCCATCTGTTCCTGAGGGAGCTTCCCAGATGTGTGCCTCTCTCTTTCCCTGGATAAACAGCACTGAGTACTATTTAGCTTGTCTCAGATGACCACATTTGACTTTGACTACTCTAACAGCATTAATTTTCTGTTTTTCCACAGTATTTTGGAAGTTTGCTTGTCATTTTCTGTGTGGAACTGGCTTGTGGTGTTTGGACATATGAGCAGGAAATTATGGTGAGTTCAAAATGGGATACAGTCACAATCTGAAACTATATCCAGGTCAGCCTTATAGGTCAGATCCTTTGGAGTAATTTAGGCACCTGGTTCTTGATTTGAATATTTATACCATATAACAGCATGCAGTCCCAGTCCTTCTGAAAAGTAACACTGTCTTTTCTGTGTCTAAAGCATAGCTCCAAACCCTAATTTGCAATCTTTTATTTGGTGTACTCTGATATGTGTTTTTAATTCCACAGATTGCTTAAACATGGATATATTAGACTTAAAATAATATATGTTTTAAAGTAGCTTTACCAATTTTGCAGTGTATAGTTCGGAAAGATTCTTATTTGCAACAAGTTTAAGAAAGTGTGAAAATCTGCCCAAAAGCCTTATAAAAAGCTGTCCACCCATGACTGGGAGGCATGCACCCCCTGTTGGCCCCACGCTGAGCCATCATCCACTTCAAGAAAAGCTGCTGTGTTTCCTCCAGCCTAGAAACATTCTTACAGTTGGATACTTGGCTACATGGAAACAACTCTTCAGTTTTTTCTCTTTTTTATTTTTGCCAGGGGACCGATGTTTACAATTATACTATAGGCCCAGTGTACGAAATTTGTGCACAGGGACGGGGGGAGGGTTGTGTCCCTCAGCCCAGCCTGTACCCTCTGGGACCCCTCAAGGAATGACCAACTGCCCATTTAGGCCCGAGCCTGGTAGGATTGGGCCTAAATGGGCAGTTGGACATCCCTCTCACAACCCAGGACTGCTGGCTCCCAATGCTCGCCTGCCTGCCTTCCTGATTGCCCCTTACCACTTTGCCTGCCAGCCTGATCACCCCCCTAACCACTCTCCTGCCAGCCTGATTGATGCCTAACTGCTCCCCTCCCAGTCTGATTGCCCCTAACTGCCCTTCCCTGCAGGCTGGGTCACCCCCAACTGCCCTCTCCTGCTGGACATCTTGTGGTAGCCATCTTGTGTGCTGGAATGATGGTCAATTTGCGTATTACTTTTTTATTAGATGGGATTAGAATGGATAAGAATAAGAGTTTCAAAGTCTTAAGATGTTAGCAGTCATCTTTGCTTTAACCATGTGCACTTCACTCTTGCTCATGTGGGCCATTATTACTTACCATTTGTTCACTTTATTGGTGGACGTTGGTAGGTTTACACCCCTGCATGCCTATGATTGCTGGCTGTTTTCATGGTGGCTGGCCAGATGTCCCCACTTAAGTGTCAGGGTAATTCCAGTAAGATGATGCTTTTCAACAAGGAGTCCTCAGATTGGCTATCAGGAGTCACTCAAGGTGATTCTCAAAACTATGCATTCTAGAGCTCGAGGCCAGGTTTGCTAAATCAGAATAGAGGGATAAGCAGAGGGAGAAGGGGCAGAGGACTGGGCATGGGCATTTGTGACAGTTTCCCGATCGAGTCTTCAACTCTTTAAAATGTAAGAGTTCTTAAGCAGAGAGGCAGATCATTTTGCATTTGTTTGAGAGAGGCATTTCGGCAGCTGTGTAAGAAAATTGAAGTTGTTTATGGTACTGATGCAGTTATTAAAGATTTTATGCTGAATCTGCTGTGACACTGTTTTGATTACTAAGTGGTAATTGCAAAAGAGTTGGTTCTCTGCATACTCCAATTTATATGTAAATGATGCTCTGACACTGTCTCTACTCTGAATCCCTCTGAAGAGCTCTCTGAAGTGTCCCCAACCTGTGACAACTCCCAGAAAGAAGAGAGAACTTGTAATTATTTATTTCTCTATGAAAATTGAAAAATCGACAAAGATTCTAAGTAATTTAATGTAAACTTTCTGAAAACGAAGTCTATTAAATAGGAATATTCATGTTATCTTTAATAATCGTATTTTCACTTCTTATCCTAGAAACTTTGCATATGGAAGGGGGTGAAAAACTAGTTGTTTTCAGGGGTTCTGTTTTTAATGATAAAGAGAAGTTCTCTTAAAATTCTTCTGTTTTTAAAAAATGCATCTGTCTCTTTGCCATTCAAGCAAAAATATAGAAATTGTATAATTAATTATTGATCCCCTCACCTCAGCTTTTGATTGAGTTGTTTTGGATAACTAAAGGATTTTTAGAGATGAGTTTACTTTCTCTGGATTTTAAAAATGATTCTACGGTGTTTATGCCATACTAATGTTGGTAAATCTTCTAAGTTAAAACAGTTTGACATGGATTAATTTGAAGTATTTGAATGGGAATATTTTGGTTCTAATATAATTCTAAGAAACTTTAGTTCATCGAAAGGAATTTATCCTTACTGTTTAGCTACTGTTTTCTATTCTGTTAAGGGCCATCTGCAAATATCTTTTAAGTATCACAGGGGTACTAGGTGGGTCCAGACTGTCATTTCAGTTGATGGAATACATCACGGTTCTGCTTATGGTAATCTTCTCCATTAATCTATCCTTCACCAGGATAGAGCAAGGCCTGTGTAAAAGTAAGCAATTTTTACATGTTTTTAACTTGTTTTTTCACTAACAGCAGTGTGAATGAAAAGTGCCCCTAAAGTTTACTAGCTGCCAAATTGCACAAAACCTAGCCTGTGCATAGACGGCTTTGTGCTCTTAGCTGCTCCATGCAAGGAGGCAGCAAAGGAGTATTTTCCTTTAAGGACCAGATCCTAGTACTTTATTCCAGAACTTCAATGATCTTCTCTGTTTCTTGCCACATTTGGTCTCAAGACTGATTGTGGCCAAAAGGGAGAAACAACTTATATTTATTTTGGAAAATAACATTAAAAATGGCACTGTCCTAATCACCAAATCAAAAGATTTGACACTAGACTGTCTGTTTCTCCATTCTTTCTCCGTACATTGTCACCTCTTATTCGTTATTTCTTCTCTAAAAAAAAATATATATATATATATATATATATATATATATATATATATATATATATATATATATCAGTGATATTAGGTCAGATGATAAATTTCTGGAAAATTCATTTCACTTTCATGTATTTTATGCTCAAAAGGATAGGAGGCAATAATAATTTATAGTGAGTAGCTTGCGGTTTGGTTAGCACCTTGAGCTTTGTTGAAACCACATGAACACTAAGCCATGACGTAGGGAACACAGTTGTGTGCCCAAGTAAATGTTGGGGTGTTTTTTTTGTACCGTGGCATTTCCAAGTCATAAAAAAAGAAAATTAACGGGGTGGGGGGGGTGGGGGGATGAAGAATGTCTGTGATCAGGAATTTTTAAACTTACCCCTATTGATATCCCTATTTTTTAAAGTAAGATTTCCAAGTGATCCAGTTCTTGAGTGAGTGTCAAGCTGGCTTGTCTAAGCCTGGTCTGTATGACACCACAGGCCAGATGTGGATGTCTGCCCAGCCTCCAGGAAGCCACTTTAGCTCTGCACATGCCATGGGATGGGGATTTGTGGGCCCCATTCCCACAGTTGTGCTGACTTGATTTCTGGTCGAGTGTTGTGCTGTGTACCAGAGGCTCTGGCACGATTAAACATTCTGTCAAGGAACCCGGTGCTAGGTGATCTGAGAATAGAAGCATAGACAATGCTTCGATTTGGGAACTAATCTTTCTAGAACTCCAGCATGCCTCTGAAATCTAAATTTTGAAAGGGTGTTTACAAACTTATCCCTTGAGTTGAGCTTTTTTTCTTCTTGATTCTCCCCCCTTTATGTTAATACCATCATCTGGAGCTCAATACTGGCATTAGCTGACTTGGCAGTACTTTGCTTTATATGACATACCTTTACATTTAGTACAAAAACCTACAAGCAGAGATTGTCCAGTAAGTATTTAGTAGCTCTGAGTTAACATAGGCTACAATAAATATAAAATACTTGTCAATTATAGCACATTCCAGGTATGTGTGAGTATGAGTATGAGACTACGAGTGACTAAGTTTGTGAATCTGTGAGTGTCTGAGTGTGTCTGTGTGTCTCTGTGTTAACAGTTGCTGATATTCTGTTTTTCATCTTCAGCTTCCAGTACAGTGGTCAGACATGGTCACTTTGAAAGCCAGAATGACGAATTATGGCTTACCTAGATACCGCTGGCTTACGCACGCTTGGAATTTTTTTCAGAGAGAGGTAAGTGCTACCATTGCTGAGATAAAGGGTAGAGTGCAGTGGTTGGCAAATTAATTAGTCAACAGAGCCAAATATCAACAGTACAACGATTGAAATTTCTTTTGAGAGCCAAGTTTTTTAAACTTAAACTTCTAACGCCACTTCTTCAAAATAATCTTGCCCAGGCCGTGGTATTTTGTGGAAGAGCCACACTCAAGGGGCCAAGGAGCCGCATGTGGCTCTCGAGCCGCGGTTTGCTGACCACTGGTATAGAATAAATGGCTTACTTTCAAAACAAATGTTCAAAGCTTTGGCCTTGGTCCCATTCTCTGTGCTGAAAAGTTAAGCCTGTAATTCAGTGACCATCGGTGGGATTCTTTATTGAGAAATACCTTAAGGAAAGCCAGGTTCTGCTTTCCTCCCACGTATACCATTTCCTTTACATTTCACATGCTTCTCTGTAGTTTCATTTTTTTTTAAAGCCTTTTTACTAAGCTACTGTGAAGTTTCCTTTTCATGAGTTAGTAAATATCCACCTTCTCTTTGAATAGATCACTTTTTCATCACTTTTAGAGCTATTCGTATTTTAAACATCATTTAAACTTACAAATGGCCATTCTCACTGGAGAATTAAGAATCAATATGTTGTTCAAGGCATGAGTTTTCTAGTCGGGAAATTCTGGCTCTTCTGCTTACTATTTCATGAGCTTCTATAATTTACCTCCTTAGCTTCAGTCTCAGCTGTAAAGTGGGAATAATAAAATATCTCCTCGAGTTTTTGAGAAGATTAGATAACTTTGATCTTATTTAGCTTATGGTTATTAGCAATAACATTAAAACGCACAGGGGCTTTTAGCTTTTCTTACCTAACTTCCATACAGCACTACATGCAAGCATCTGCTCACATGGGGACTATATATTTAGATGTTGAAAGTCTGGTGACTTATACTTAAATCATTGATCTTGCTTCAAACCAAGCTTCTCTTCCAAGCAGTTTCCTTGTGACGGGAGTGACATTTCCAGATGACCAAGTATATCCGTTTCCTTCCATTTTATTTAGCACTGGGCCACACAGCATTGGAGGGCCAGTGTCTTCCACGCTGGATAACCAGCTCTTTGCTCAGTTACTCTGGCTTGAATATGGGCAGAAGTTCAAGTTCCAGATAATCTCCAAATCTGGCCCTTTGTGTTCGAGCTGTTGGGATGGTGACCATTATCATTGTAACACAGATTTCCTGTTTATTGAAATGTGTCCTGACTTTGTTTGTTTACTGTTCATTTGTACTAAAAACAACATGCAGCAAAAATAAGTAAAGCATTAGGGAATTTATAGGAAGCTGTGTTTAGCTACTGCCCTGGGTAGAAGGTGCCCAGGGTTCTTTATTTTATTTATTTTGGAGGGGGGCGGGTTGTGATGTAGACCATGATAATACAGGTTAAAAAAACAAAGCACTTTTTTCTTTTTCTTTTCTTAAAGGGTAGGGAAAGGAGTTCCACTTAGATAGAGAATGTACAAGCATTGCAAATTTTAGATTTGTTGCATGCTAAATTTCCTCCTCCAGATCATGGGCCTATTTCACCCCAGAGGGGGTGGTGAAGACCTCTGGGTATTCTAAAGGATTAAAAACACACCCTTGTTCTAGTTTCCTAGGGCTGTGGCTATCGCCAAGTTCCACAGGCTGGGGGCTCAAACAACTGAGAGGCACCGACTCACCTGTCTGGAGGCTCAGAGCCTGCGACCATGGCCTGTGGAGTCGGTTTCTTTGGAGGCCTCTGTCCTGGGCTTGCAGATGGCTGTCTCCTGTGGCTTCGTGCGGGCTTCCCTTTGTGTGTGTTTGCGTCTCAGTTTCATCTCCTTAGAAGGACATCAAGCATATGGGTTTAGGGTCCACCCGATGACCTTAATTTAATCACCCCTGCAAAGACACTGCCTTCAAACATGGTCACATTTTGGGGATGAGGACTTCACCAGGAACTTTAGGTGGCATGCATTTCAGCCCCTAGCATTCCTTTTGAATAAAATAAATAGTAGAGCTGAGAGGGACCTGCCAGTCCGTTTTCCTGACTCTTTTGGTGCTGTTCTGCGTATGTCCTTCAGCCTCGTGGACTCTCAAGCCCTGGGGATGTTTATTAAATACCTTATTTAAAAAAAACCAAAAAAACCCTCCTGCTTTTTAAAAATGGGGTTATTTATTTTAACATAGTGGTTGGAGAATAGGCTTTGGAATTAATAGGTTCTGCTTCCTGCTAGTCTGTGATCTTGGCAAGTTACTTGGGCCATCAGAGCCTCAGTTTCTTTATATATAAAATGGGATTAATATGGTTATGGGATTTTCTTGACTTTGATACAATGCTAGCTAGAGTGGCCCTGCCTCACGCTGTGGTTTTGAGGGAGGCAGGAAAACCACAGGGAGATGTAGACCACAGTCCTACGGGACATCATAATGGCTTTGCCTAAGGGAGTTTTCAGGAAAAGTTTCAATTTGGTATCTTCAGCTAAAGATGAAAAACAACTGTGTACCAAGAAAAAAATATCTCAGTGACATTAACATTTAAAAAAAAGTTTGGCACCGCAGGTGATATGCGTAAGCAATTTGGAAGAAGCAATTTCTGTGGAGCACCTCATTTCCTGACAAGGCCAGATGAATGGGCGGCCATGTTGTGGATGGGGGTGAGAATGTGCCAAGAGCTATTCTTCTGTCATCAACCAGAAAAAACACATGTCGTTAGGAAATGAGAGAGGCGCGTTCTCTCTTAGTGCAAGGGATTTTAAAAGACTGACTTGGAACTCTTGTAAGTCGTGTATGGTTTTTCTAAAGTAAAGTCTTTTTATCGCATACGATTTTTTTATGGAATCTTAATGACATGAAATCTGTGATGTCAAATGATGTTTGACTTAATGTGTGATGCCTCTGATATATATTCATGGCTTTGAGAACGAGTTTATAAAAGGAAATTACTAAAACTATTTTAAAGTTTCTTGGAAAATTTTAGCATTACTCATGGTGTTCAGTAATTCATCATTTGTAATACTCTTAAGGTGATGTTTGCTTTTAAACATTATTCATTTAGGCAAATGAAAAAAATGTAAAGTCATTTTTAGGATTTTCCTTGTTTCCTTTTACTTGAGAAGTTCAGAATTCTTCACAGTGGATTGTGGTTGAAGTTTGAAATGGTGGGTTGTGGTGTTTTGTGGCACAGTGTCAGTCCTGGGCACGGATGGATGTGCTGGGCTACATAATACACAGAGCCAGTCGCTCTTGGCAGAGTTCTTCTCAGAGAGTGCCCATAGCGCTTGTTTTTCACTCTGTGAAGAGTAACCCACTCTACCCAAGGGCCAACATTTATCATAGTTAATTATTCTGAACCTAATCTACATCCATCCTTAAGCAATGTAGCTAAACCTTGGCCAGAGAAAGATTTTGCAAAACCTTGGGGAAATGAGACAAAGAGAAAAGGAAAAAGAAAAATATTTTTTCCTAATCTAACTTTACTTAAGTTAAAGGAATCTCATTTCTTCTGTGATTTATGTGATAGAATATGATAGTTTATTTCTAGAATCTTATTTGGATGGATAAAAATTTATTGGCCTAAGTTAGGTTTACATCTCAAAAAATTTTGGAGATTTTGTTTGTTTGTTTGTTTTGGTAAATGAACCCAAGTCTGGTGATCTTTGTGAGGGGAACTTTGGTCAACAAACCTTCTCTGGAGATTACAGAAAAGTTTAATATACTATTTGAATTTTAAGCAGTTAAAATGGTAACTAGGCATATACATGTATTATGATTGATCAGCTACTCTTCGGTGTCTAGGGGCTTAATGATAAATGTAAGGTTTGAGCTATTTGTCTTGTTGGTTGTGCACATGAACTCTGTTGCTGTAAGATCTCTTATGGAGGACCTTAGGGAGGGAGAGGGGGAGGGAGACTGAGTCCTGCTTGGCCTGTGTTCAGGTGTTATGGGCATTAGTGTTCAGAATTGTTCCACTGGGGACTTCTTTACGACATTTCTGCCATCCACCGAGAATGTACACATGTCATTAAGTGACGAAGAATAATGTTCGCTTTGGCTACAAAAATTTAAGAAATCTGCTGTTTAACTTCTTATAAATAAAGAAAATATTTGTGTAGTCTCTGAGCCTGACCAGTATTCTTTTACAGTTCAAGTGCTGTGGAGTGGTGTATTTCACCGACTGGCTGGAAATGACAGAGATGGACTGGCCCCCAGACTCCTGCTGCGTTAGGGAATTCCCAGGATGCTCCAAACAGGCCCACCAGGAAGATCTCAGTGACCTGTACCAAGAGGTAAGGCCGCATGTTAAACTGGGATAAAAGTTCCCTTATAATGACAAGTATAGAACCCGCAGCATGTCAGTGAACTAACCTCTTCTGTGCAAATACAAAGGCCCTTGAAATTTTTGCTCTGGTATGTGGAAAAACAGGATAAAGGTAAAAATTAATATACAGCCTTGACTGGTTTGGCTCAGTGGATAGAGTGTCGGCCTGTGGACTCAAGGGTCCTAAGTTTGATCTCAGTCAAGGGCATGTACCTTGTTTGCGAACACATTCCCAGGAGGGGGTGTGCAGGAGGCAGCTGATTGATGCTTTTCTCTCATCGATGTTTCTAACTTTTTCTCCCTCTCCCTTCCTTTCTGTAAAAAAAAATCAATAAAATATTTTTTAAAAATTAATATACAAATCTGAACACTGAACCAGACATTGGGAAGGTGTAGGTTTTAGAATTAATTGGATTTTAAAATCTGTTGTCTAAGAATCAAGTTCTCTTGCCCCCTCCTCAGGGTCCTTTGAAAACAGATGCAGGCAGAGGGTGTAGCTGACTCTGGGGGTCAGGAAAACACACATTGGAGTTCCTGAGTGGATTACAGTATAGAGCAGTGGTCGGCAAATTCATTAGTCAGCAGAGCCAAATATCAACAGTACAAAGATAGAAATTTCTTTTGAGAGCCAAATTTTTTTTTAATATATTTTATTGATTTTATACAGAGAGGAAGGGAGAGAGATAGAGAGTTAGAAACATCGATGAGAGCGATTCATCGATCGGCTGCCTCCTTGCACACCCCCCACTGGGGATGTGCCCGCAACCAAGGTACATGCCCTTGACCGGAATCGAACCCGGGACCCTTCAGTCCCCAAGCCAACACTCTATCCATTGAGCCAAACCGGTCCCGGCTGGGAGAGAGCCAAAATTTTTAAACTTAAACTATATAGGTAGGTACATTATTATTAACTTAATTAGGGTGCTCCTAAGATGGCCTTTGTTAAAAACTCAAGGGGCCAAAGAGCCGCATGTGGCTAGCGAGCCGCAGTTTGCCAACCACACTGGATAGGACCTCCACATATCATTAGATTAAAATGTGTAGGGAAAATCCCACTCTCCGGAGAAAGTGCTGGCCTCTTCCCTCTCCCCTGCTAGTAGTGAGCAGTGATGGGAGTTTTAGTTAGCTGTTGGAATTGAGTTAGATACTCGCTGGAATGAAAATCAGTTGTCCCCTGCCCAAGAAACTTGCATATTTGTGTTTTTTGGAAGAATTTATCAGAATAATCTCTTATTCCTTGTTAGCAGAAGTTTTCCTATCATTTCACTTTTTGTGGTGATTTTCAAATGTTTTTAGCCACAGAATTCTTTTTCTTCCAATTAAAATCTAGAATACACCATCCTGTACAGCAGCCGAGAGCTATGTGTAGCCACTTGAATGAAAATGAAATCAAATACCATTTTCATTCCCTCTGCTGCGCTAGCCACATTTTTTTCCTTTCTTTCTTTCTTAAAATATATTTTATTGATTCTTTACAGAGAGGAAAGGAGAGAGCTAGAGAGCTAGAAACATCGATGAGAGAGAGACATCGACCAGCTGCCTCCTGCACATCCCCCTCTGGGGATGTGCCCACAACCAATGTACATGTCCCTGACCAGAATCGAACCCGGGACCCCTCAGTCTGCTGGCCGATGCTCTATCCACTGAGCCAAACCAGTTTTGGCATGTGCTAGCCACATTTCAAGTGCTCAACAGCCTCTCCGAGTTAGCTCTTTCTGTGGCAGACCAGGCAGGTGTAAGATATTTCCATCCTCACCCAAGTTTTACTGCAGCCTCGATCCAGAGGGGAAGCTCAGAATGGAAAGGAAGCTGCCCAGGATGAGGAGCCAAATCCTTTCCCAGATCCATCTCCAGGCAAACACCTGGGTGCACAGAGCACTATCCAAACCTCTGGCTTAACAGACACACTCATGATACAACACACACACATATACACAGACACACACACACACACCTGCTTAACAGACACACTCATGATACAACACACACACACACACACACACACACACACACACACCTGCTTAACAGACACACTCATGATAAACACACACACACACAGTATATGCTATAAAGAATGAAACTGTAAGAAAAAACCATACCATGTCTTTTTATGTGTTTCAAGATCATGACCTTAGGAGGTTAGGTGTTTTTTCCTAGAAATACTAACATTGTTCAAAACATCTTTTAGCCAGTCTGCCAAAGGCAATTGTAGAGATGTACAGGAATGAGCTTCATTAATTTATAGCATAAAGGAACTAATTTGAAAAAGATACTGGAATACTGACACAAATGATTTGTTACATCCGTGTCTCAGATATGAGTAATTTTGGGCTGCTAAAAAAATCGTCTCAGAGGACAAGACATGGCCACCTTGAAGGATGTACAAAATAAAGTGCTTTGGGCTCCAAAGGCACATGCAAGAAAGAGGGCCAAATATTTTTTTTAAGAGTTTCACAATTTATTAATTTCCCAGGGCTACTATAACAGAGTGCCACTAAGTGAGTTGCTTCAACAGCAGGTACATCTCTCCCAGTTTGGAAGCTGTTAATCTGAGATGGAGGTGTGCTAGTAAGCAGGGCTGGTTCCTTCTGATGGGTACGAGGAAGAACCTACCCCACGCCTCTCCCTCACTTCTGTGGCTGGATGCCATCATTGGCGCTCTTTGGCTTGCAGCACCGCCTGCTCTGCCTTCACCTTCTCACGGAGTTCCTCTTGTTTGTGTCTGTCTCCAAATTTCCCTTTTTATAAGGATGCTAGTCACTCAGTCTTCTCCTGTCTGACCTTGTCTTAACTAATCACACCTGCAACAACTCTGCATCGAAGTAAGATCCGATTCTGAGTTAGTGGGGATTCGGACCTCAGCATAAGCAATGGGAGGGGACACCATTCAAGTCATAACAAGATTTGTTGAAACAGCTGAGTAACTCAGGTTGTTTATTTTAAAAGATAACCAAAATACTTATCGTCATGCCTCATGCTACTGAGAAGCATTGTGTTGGATATTATCATTTGAAGCATATTATGCTTAGTAACATTTTGGCTTTGAATAAAAAAGAATTACAAGGTCTTGTATATTGAACAAAGAATTGTTGGGTCAGTGTCCCTGAGTTCCTCGGTGATTGTGCTCTTGTGTTCTGGGTGAAAGCTGAATATTGGCTGGTAGCAGGGATGGCCAGCTAACAAGTACAACAGTCAAAGTCTGCTTATTCCATAAACCAGAAGCAGTGCTGAACTTTTCTAAGAAAAATTAAACGCAGGCATAATTGTGCACATTCACACACATTACAACACCACTAGATTTAACACACACAGAGATGGTTATAGTATAGGTACAAATGTAAACATGTGAACTAACTTACCCTGTGTAAACTTACCCTGTGTAAACTTAATTCATCTATTAGTTTTAGGAGTGGCAAGTCAGTATGGGAAATTATTGGACTATACCCCCAAATACACTGAGTGGCTAGATTACTATGATCTCTGAATGCATAATAATCTGGCCACTCTGTATGAATTTATGCATGGGTGGGGTCCAGCCTGGCCAGGAGGAGAGGACATGGGTAGTTGGCCAACCTGCGGGCTGATCAAACTCCTGGTGGAGGGGACAATTTGCATATTAGCCTTTTATTATATAGGATTATACACTGAGTGGCCAGATTATTATGCGTTCAGAGATCATAATATTCTGGCCATTCAGTGTATAGTGATTTCTATTTTCTTTAGTGATTAATACAGGTAATATGATTATTACCAATATTGACCATGAGAATAGCAAAATGTGAATCAATTTTCCAGATGTTCCCACAAGGTCTTTACTTCAGCTTTACTTTATTTAGTTGAAAAGCCTGCAGTTAACATTTAATAAAAATTTCTTGTAAAAGTGCAATTCAATTTTACTAGCTTATCTTAATGGTCTCCACTAGTAATATTTATAATGGGATTCTTTACTTTCAGGATGTTGATAATTGCTTGTTCCATGAATTTTAAGCTGGAAAGATGCCACACTGTTGTGCCTGCGCAAATCTGAGGGCCCAGTTTATTTAAAAAGTTTTTCATATTTTCATCAAAAGACCTTCAGTAGCAACCCGGCATTGTCAGTTATGAGATATTTCTTTAGACAGAATTCCAGCAGAGATGGAGGTTCATTATATCAGAGTAATCTGCTTTTGCACTTTCCAATTAATAACAGATGTTGCTATTGGTAATGTTATAGTGCATCATTATATATGTAGTTACCTTACCAATGTGAATCACTTAGTAGATTTATGGCACAAGTACAATTAAATCCATCATTAATGCCAAAGCCAGTTTTGCTCAGTGGATAGAGTGTCGGCCTGCGGACTGGAGGGTCCCAGGTTCGATTCCGGTCAAGGGCGTGTGACTTGGTTGTGGACACATCCCCAGTGCGGGGTGTGCAGGAGGCAACCGATCAATGTTTCTCTTCGATGTTTCTAACTCTCTGTCCCTCTTACTCTCTGTAAAAAATCAATAAAATATATTTAAAAATAAAAATAAATAAATCCATCATTAAAAAGGAGACTTAATTCCACTTTGCCCTGGAATGTACATTTCTAATTGCAGTGTGCTCGGGGATCATCCACTTGGAAGAAGAGGGATCTAGAAAGAACAAGGGAGGGACAGTTGGAGGTGTTTGCAATGTTTATTCTGAAGCAGTGAGTCCTAAGGAGAGATATTTCAGATGTCCTCAAGTATTTCAAAGTTCATCAGTCAGAACAGGAACTGGACTTACCCATTGTTGTTCCCAGGGCCGTCACAGGAAGGAAATTTTGAGTCAGTAGAAGGAAGAGCTTGCTCATCAAAATCCGTCCAATTGTGGTACAGGTTCTCTTGTAAAATAGTGAGTGTCTTATCTCTAAAAAATATTAAAGTCAAGATCACTGGTGTTAGAATGGGTTTTTAAATTAAGAGTGAATCTGGACTAGATGAACTTCAAGGTCCCTTTTATCT